TCTCCAAGACATTTCCAAACCTCCATTGATATGCCACCAGGTACTCTACTTTTCCCTTCTTTGTTCTTTTCAGAAATTTCTGAACTTCACCCTCACTAATATTTCCCACTGCCTGGTCCACAGTTTCTATGACTTATTTTCTTTTCCTTTCATTCTCTTCATTCATTAGTTAATTAAAAAGTAAAAAGTAAAGTACTCCTTCCATCAAAAGAGAACTTTACTAATTGGCTTTTCTATGTATGTGAATGTTCCTGTAAAGTGCCCTGAGACAACTTTGTTGTGATTTGGCGCTATATAAATAAACTGAATTGAATTGAATCTTCTCGTCACATTCTTCTCACTTATTCGAGCATTACAATTCCAATCTTTAACAAGCCTAACTTGTTGCACATCCTTTCCAGCCTGATCCCTCTGTCTCACTAATTGGTACAAGTCCTTCTCGCCCTCTTTAGTGTCCAGTTTCCCATACAGCTCATCATATGCCTTCTGCTTTGCCGTTGTCATCTCCCTCTTTTCTCTACGTCCCATCTCCTTATATTCCTGTCTCCTCTCTTCAGTCTTCTCACTGTCATATTTCTTCTTAGCTAATCTCTTTCTTTAAGTAGTTTCATGCACTTCATTATTCCACCACCAGGTTTCATTATCATCCTTTCTCTGTCCAGATGACACACCAAGTACCTTCCTACCTGTCTCTCTAATTACTGTTCTTGTAGTAGTCCAGTCAATTGGAAGCATTTTCTTACCACTCAGAGCCTTTAACAGCTTCTCTCTGAATTTCTTACAACATTCTTCCTTCTTCAGCTTCCACCATTTGGTCTTTTTCTCTGATTTTACTCTTTTTCACAACAACAATCATTCTACATACAACCATCCAATGCTGTCTGGCCACGCAGTCCCCTGCCACAACCTTACAGTCCCTAATCTCCCTCAAGTTTCCTTTTCTACACAGAATGTAGTTGACCTGTGTACTCCTGCCTCCACTCTTATAAGTCACTCTATGTTCCTCCCTCTTTTGGAAATAAGTGTTAACTACAGCTGTTTCCATTCGCTTGGAAAAATCCACCACCTGTCCATCCTTCCTGGTTTCTTTCCTTGACACCAAACCTACCCATCACATCCTCATCACCTCTGTTTCCTTCACCAACATGTCCGTTCAGGTCTGCTCTGATCACCACTCTGTCCTCCCTGGGATTACTTTTTATCACTTCATCCAGATCCTTCCAAAATGTATCTTTCTCCTCCACAGCACATACAATCTGTCGAGCATAACCACTGACAACATTTAGCATCAGACCTTCTACTTCTACTTCTACTTCTACATTTTTTACCACCTCCTCCTTCAGGACCACCCATACTGCATTTCTCTTTCTATCCATACCTTGGTAAAACAGTTTGAACCCTGCTCCAATGCTGCAAGCCTTGCTGCCCTTCCACTTGGTCTATTGGACACATAAAACATCTACCTTCCTCCCTGCATCATGTCAGCCAGCTCTCAACCCTTGTCTGTCATTGTTACCACATTTACAATAGAGTTGCAACCCTGAGTCCTACATTCTTGACTTTCCTCTTCTCCCTCTGTCTCCTGACACGTTTCCCTCCTCGTAGTCTTTGACTAAGAGGAAACTGGCTCCTTGGTTCAATTCTGAGTTACGTACTTTAAAGCAGGCATCTAGAAACCAGGAGAGAAAATGGCGCTCTACTAATGTTGAAGAATTTTATTTAACTTGGAAAGATAGTCTGCTAACATATAAAAAAGCTCTCCATAAAGCTAGAACTTTATATTACTCATCTTTAATAGAGTAAAATAAAAATAACCCTAGGTTTCTGTTTAGTACTATTGCTAGACTAATTAAAAGTCCCATTTCTGTTGAACCATGTATCCCTACAACTATAAGTAGTGATGACTTCATGAGATTCTTTATAAATAAAATTATTTCAATTAGAGAGAAAAATCAAACCATCTTTCCTTCTACTATTTCTAGTCCCCTGTCAAATGAGGCAACTTTAAAAATTTCACTAGAGCCTGATTTATGTTTGGACAGTTTTTGTCCTGTTGAGCTCTCTGAATTGTCAAAAATAAAAACCTCATCCAAACCATCCACATGTCTGCTAGATCCCATCCCAACCACACTGTTTAAAGAAGTATTTCCCCTAATTAATGTCCACATTTTGGATCTACTTATTTTTTCTTCAGTTAATGGTTATGTACCACAGCGCTTTCTGTGGTCCACACTGCGCTCAACCACCTGGAGCAGAAAAACTCTTACGTCCGTATGCTCTTTGTGGACTTCACATCCGCCTTCAACACCATGATCCCCCAAACCCTGATGGACAAACTATCCACACTAGGACTAAGCCCCTCCATCTGCAACTGGGTACTAGACTTTTTAACAAACAGACCACAGTTAGTGAGGATCCACAACCTCTCCTCCTCCACCATAACCCTCAGCACTGGCTCTCCTCAGGGATGTGTGTTGAGCCCCCTCCTGTTTACTCTGCTCACATATGATTGTGCAGCTACCCATCCAGGCTGTCACATTGTAAAGTTTGCAGATGATACAGCGGTGGTGGGATGCATCACAAACAATGATGAGTCCAGCTACAGGCAGGAGGTGGAACACCTGGAGAGCTGGTGCAGAGAGAATAACCTTCACATCAATGTGAAGAAGACAAAGGAGATGATTGTGGACTTCAGAAGGAACAAAAACACCTACACCCCCCTGAACATAAGAGGATCTGCGGTGGAAGTGGTCTCCAGCTACAAGTACTTGGGTGTACACATGAATGACAGCCTCAGCTGGAGCAACAACACCACCAGCCTGATCAAGAAAGCTCATCAGAGACTCTACTTCCTCAGACGGCTGAGGCGAGCTGGTCTGGGAAGCTCAGTCCTCACCTCCTTCTACAGGTGTGCAGTGGAGAGCATCCTGTGCTCCAGCATCAATGTGTGGCATGGAGGCTGCACAGCTGCAGAAAGGAAAGCTTTGCAGAGAGTGGTGAAGGCTGCACAGAAATCTGTTGGAATCAGTCTCCCCACCATCACAGACATCTACACCTCCAGATGCAGGAAGAGGGCCACCTGCATCATGAAGGACCCCACCCACCCAGCACACACACTTTTTGCCCTACTCCCCTCAGGAAGGAGGTTAAGGAGCATTAAGTGTAGAACCACTAGACTGAGGAACAGCTTCTACCCTGAGGCTGTTAGACTCATGAATCTCTAACTAGAATAATCACTGTGAAAAACCATATCATGTTGCTGCTGATCTGTTTCATGTTGCTGCTGATCTGTTTCAATGTTGATGTGTTCATGCGTGCACATCTGCTCACAGACTCATGTTCATGTTTGTGCTGATGTTCAATGTTTTATGTTATGAGTGCTTAGTGTATATTTAGTTGATGTTCTTCTTAGTTCATATCTTAGATGTTATTACTGTTTTTCTTATACATTTTATTGTTGGATGTAACTGGGACCCTGTGTACATAATTTCGCTCCACCACATGTACCACATGAGGTGCGAATGACAATAAAGAAACTCTGACTCTGACTCTGACTCTGACTCTGACTCTGACTGACTCTGACTCTGACTTTAAGGTTGCTGTAATTTAACCTTTACTTAAGAAGTCTGATCTTGATTCAGAAATTCTTTCCAACTATAGACCTATATCTAATCTAACTTTCATCTAAAAAATTCTAGAGAAAATAGTTGCAGGTCAGTTGCGTGAACATCTACAAAGAAATAATCTGTTTGAAGAGTTTCAGTCAGGGTTTAGAGCTCATCATAGCACAGAAACAGCACTAGTAAAAGTAACTAATGATATTCTCATGGCCTCAGACAATGGACTTGTGTCTATACTGGTCCTGTTAGACCTCAGTGATGCATTTGATACGGTTGATCACAATATTTTACTACAGAGGCTTGAATATGATATTGGGATTACAGGAACAGCTCTAAAATGGTTTAAATCATATCTATCTGATAGATTCCAGTTTGTAAATGTAAATAATAATCTTCTTCATACATCAAAGTTAGTCATGGAGTTCCTCAGGGCTCAGTGCTTGAGCCAATACTCCTTAATTTATATATGCTTCCATTAGGTAAAATTATTAAACAGCATGGGATAAATTTTAAATAAATGAGGGGTTCAGTGTCTTGCCCAGGGACACTTCGGCATGTGACTGCTGGTGGATTCGAACCCCCAACTCTTGCATTGGAGGACGACTGCTCTAACCACTCAGCCACAGCTGCCCCAGATGAACTCACTAATTATTTTTAGCAAGCATTTTATGTTGGATGCCCTTTATGACACAACCTTCATTTTCTTGGGCTTGGGACCAGCACAATAGATACACTGGCTTGTGCTCCCTAGTGGCTGTTTTCCAAATCCTCCCATATCTGCAAAAAAACTGTCCAGCTCTGTCAGGGTTATATTTGGCCTCCCCTCCATGTCTTTCTGATTAAAGCCCTCCTGGCCTGCTCTGTAAGTTTTAGTGGATGACTCTTGGTTTAAAAGTTCCGTTTTCTAATAATGGACTTAACAGTGATAATATCCCTAATCTGCATTTCACAAATTCTGTGTAGAGAGGTCCTTAGCATTTATGATGTCTGTTGCTCTTACTACTTGAGGTGTTCCACTCATCTTGGTTTTGGTGGCTTTTACAACTAGTTTGCATCATTTGATAAGTCCAGTTTATCTGACAATTAGGGATTGTGGTCATTAGTTTAATAAGGTGGGTGTTAGGTGTATTGTTTTTTTTTTTTTTTACTGATTTTGTGCATTCTGAAAGTAATGGTTTTAAATCAAGAGAAGTGAAATACAAATGCATGCACCCTTTTCCAGTTTTATACTTTTCAGAATTATTTAAAATTAGAGTTTACTTGCCATTACTGGTAGTTACATTTTAGTTTGAAACTCAGCAGGAAAAGCAAAGATTAATGCAACAGAAAAATTAGGAACTAAAGGACAGAGCGAAGCCCCAGTGTTGACTACGTTGTTACCTGTGATGGTTTCTGCAAAGACAGGGTCTAAAACCACACCCCTGTACACCCCGTACAGACTGACCCTGTACCAGGTACTGGGGGCAAGGCCAGAGAAGGTGAGGCTGCGAGCATCAGCAGGCATCGTGTGGTTCTGACACTCAAACCCCGTCTCTGCATCGGTAACCTCGATCAGAAAGGCCTCGAACACCCCGTCTTCAGCAGACCAGGAAAACAGGAAGCTCTCCCATGAGACATTGCTGATTGTGACGTTAGTTATCATCGGCTTCTCTTTGTCTAGGTGATGACAAACACAGCAATATTATACACAGTGAACACAAACCATTACTTGCTTTAAAATAGATGCTAACAAATTTTGATATGCTTAAATTAGACTACAGTATAATCATTTCTGGAAACAGAGAGTTGATAAAACATGAATAAAGTTGTCTGCAAAATGTAGTTATACCCATTTTAAAAATAGATTGTCACCTATACATGTCACGTGTGATTTGTGACTAAAGGGTGGCAGCAAAGGTCAATAGAAAGGTTTACAAGACAGTGGTGAGACCAGCTAAGTTGTATGGTCAAGAGAACATGGAAAAAAGACAGGAGAAAGAACTGGAAGTGGTGGAAATGAAGATGTTGAAGTTCTCCTTGGGAGTGGAAAGAATGGATAATTAATTAATTCCCCCCCCCCCCCTGTGTTTTTAATCAAATTCTGTATGGCTACAGCAAAACATCCAAGCTGTACGCAAGAACATTGAATAGTTTTCTGGATATTTGAGTACAATAAACACATGGAAGCAGTACCAGAAGAAGAGATGGGTAAAGTGGAATGTCCAGAATTCTTCACCAAAGCTCTACAGCAATCATTTTGAACCAAGTTGTTAGAAAAATCTCACAGCCTGGTTGATGCATTCTAGTAAAAAGCTGTAAATTATTGATGATTTTCAAGTTCCAGGATGCAAAATGGCATGCTCAGCTGCAAGCTACTCTCTGCTACTAAGCTCAGCACACCAAGCTTAGTTGCAGTGCAACACATGACTAGATTTGAAAAGGGGACCTTACAAAAAGCTTAATTCAAGCATTAGGCCAACAGACATAGAAATATACTAAAATGGCCAAGAAAAGAGTAAACTATTAAGACTGAGGTAACAATATATGCCAACATCTTGGAAGGTGCTATGTAGCATCCTTAGTTTTTGCCAGCATGGCAGCAGACAGTACATACCTGTATCTGGGGAAAATATACAAACCCAATCATTGTTTTCCTATTACTTATTTCAGTCCTGGGGAGGAACCATAGAGATGATTTTTTTCTAACTGACAGATGAATGTAGTTGTTAACAAAGGCAAGGAATATTTGCCATTTTTTGACATTTTTATTATGCAAACCCTGATGAATTTCAGCTACATCAACCCCGTAACAATCATTTAATGATCAGGAATAATGTCAGGATCAGGGATGGCATCTCCGACACATTGGTTAGCAGCACAGGACCACTGCAGGGACTGTGCTCTCTCCAGTTCTGTACACATCTGACTTCAGTTATAACTCTGAGACTTGCCATGTGCAGAAGTACTCAGATGACACTGCAATCATTGGGTAAGTGCAGGATGGACAGGAGCCTGGTCGAGGACTTTGTAGTGTGGTGCAAATCCAACCATCTACAGTTGAACATCAGTAAAATAAAGGATATGGTAGTGGACTTCAGAAGGTCTAGGCCTACCCTGAAGCCATTCTCAATTGAGGGGGTCGATGTAGAGGTGGTCAGGACCTACAAATATATGCGCATGCAACTGATAGTGAACTGGACTCTCACTGGGAATAGAGCTAGAGTCTCTTACATCGGTGACAGAGAAAAGTGCACTCAGTAAGCTGCTATCCATCGTGGACAATGCTGACCATCCGCTACATGGTGCCATCATGAAACAGAGGAGCCCCTTCAGTGGTAGACTGCTGTCCCAGTCCTGCTCCACGGACAGATTCAGGAAGTCCTTTGTCCCTCAAGCCATCAGGCTGTTCAACTCCTCCCCGTACAGTAAAAATAGTCTATTAAATCTGCGGTATCCCAGACACTTACGTATATGTATTTATGTATATTTACATATGTGTATGTATGCGGGAGTGGTGACGCAGAGGTTAGAGAAGGTGGGCCTGTGATTGGAAGATCGCCGGTTCAAGCCCTGGTACCGACAACATCAAAAATGTGGGTGGGGTAGGTGAAGCACCCACACCTGCCCCACCCTCATTCGTCCCACTCTGGGCCCTTGAGCAAGGCCCTTAATCCCCACCATCTGCTCCTCCAGGTGTCCTAGATAGCAGATCTCTGCTCCACACAGAGGGCTGTGGTAGCTCGGTGGTCTGTGGTTGCGTCAGGAAGGGCATCCCGTGTAAAAATAACTGCCAAGTCTTCGTGCGACTTAGTTCGCTGTGGCGACCCCTGAAGAAGGGAGCAGCCGAAAAAAGGAAAAAAAGTATGCATATATACATATGTATGTGTATGTATGCTTAGATGTGTATGTATATATACATATGTGTATGTGTATGCATGCTTAGATGTGTATGTATGTATACATATATATAGGTTAATCATGAATGTAGTACTCCCTACCACCTTGTGAATGTGCATATTGTCTTTGTACAAATTTGTGTTCTCCTTCTTTTTGGATTATTTCATATGTGTCCATCCATCCATCCATCATCTTTACCCGCTTCTTCATTTTCGGGTTGCAGGGGTCACTGGTGCCTATGCCCAGCTATCACTGTGCAAGAGGCAGGAGACACCCTGGGCAGGTTGCAAGTCCATCACAGGGACACATAGAGACAAACAACATTAGACACACTCACACACACCTAGAGACAATTTAGAGTTTCTATTTTCTGTATAATTAGAACATGCTACTGAATGCCTCGAACTTCCCCTGGGATTAATAAAATATCTGTCTGTCTGTCGTAGAAATTGTTAGAGTGAAAAAAAAAATCAAAAAGGGAGAAAATGGCATATCCCTTACGGTTTTAAATGAATGTACATTAAATAAACCTTTCTTTCTTTAAACAGTTATTTGTTGTGCAGAGATCTGTGCTACATCCATTAGCTCTGCATGAGTAAAGGACTAAATTAGCCCACATTGTAAGACATCTTGGCTGGTAGATGGACAGAGGAGGTTCAGATATTCAAACAATTTAATTATTACCAATAAATTTCAAGAGTGTTTCCATAGATAAACAAACATAATTCTTTTATTTGCTTTTAAAGCTCTTAATGGACTTGTTCCGCTCTATCTGTCCGAGATGCTGCATCCATACACACCCTCTCCATCCCTCAGGTCATGTGATGCTCCTGAGTGTGCCAAAGACAAAGCTCAGAGGAGACCATGCTTTTGCTGTGGCAGCTCCTAAACTGTGGAACGACCTTCCCTTGAACACCAGACAGGCCTCTTCCCTGTCTGATTTTAAATGCCTTCTTAAAACCATCTCTTCTCCGTGGCATTTAACACCATCTGAGATGATGACTTTTAATCATTTTAACCACTTGTATTATCTGATTGTATGTTTTTTACACAACTTTTATTATGTGACTTTAATCATGTTAATCATTTTTATTATCTGACTATGATTGTTTTGTTGTGTGTACAGCACTTTGGTCCTGTAGGTGTTTAAAGTGCTCTATAAATAAAGCTGGTATGATATGGTATGGTATACATTGCAGCAGGCAATTATTCCCAAATTTAGCTTACACATTTTTAATTTAAGGACATATTAACCTTTAATTTTTGAAAAAAAAAAGGTGCAGATTTTGTTTCTTACTTAATGAGTTTCTTAAACTGGTCTTCATTACATTGCAATAAATATCTTCAGTCCTTTTTGAATCCTGTTAGATACCAGAAAAAGCCTCAACCTTCCGATATCTTCGGTAAAATGAGTGGAATTAGTGTTTCACATACAGAGATAATGAAGCTCCAGGCTGTGGATTAGAGGGCTGCTGATTCTGAAGACAACAATTTAATAGGACTCCCAGCATGCAGCCTTTATCTGACAGAGCCACAGTTCATCGTGGTCAAATCACACAAAACCAGAGGGCAGAGCTGCTCACACCAACAATTATCACATGAATGAACACTGTGCAGGGTGCACACATGTTCATACCGTTTATCAACCTGGTGCACCCACAGCTTCATTCAGCGCCAGGCTTTTAGACACTAAGTCCTTCAAACGTATGACAACTTGTGGGTTTAAAATGAATCTTTAGCTTTGTGAAATGGTGTTAAATTAAAAATAAAATCAAAATGTAAACAATAAAAATATTGTCTCACTCGTCCACCCCAACACACAGTCACAGCACAATCACCTAAAATGAAAAAAGAGGTTACGAGCATTTCACCTTCCCCAAATCCCGTTTAGCCTGCAGCTCTCATTTATAAGCACTCCTCACATAACTGGAGGCTTTACTACTCAAATATTTGTGTTGGAGTCAGACACACAGCAGTATTAAGAATGCTCAGTCACGCTATTTATCCTTTCTTACTTCACTTAGAAAAAAATAGTAAAAAAAAATATTTTCATTTGTGATAAGTGAGTTTTAGGGAAGAAAGACACATTGACGGAGTTTGAAAAGTTAACAATGAATTCAATTCATAGTCTTGGTTTGGCTGCACTTTGTACAGTATGTGTATTTAACAAGGAAGTTAGAGAAACGTCTCATTTAACCCTGTACCAACGGCTAAAGCCCTCATGGAGACACAGATCTTCTAATACTGAATGCTTTTCTTGTCTTGGTTCAACAAAACAAGTCCCAACATTTCAATGTTATTTTTTCATTGTTTTGTTGATTATTATAGTGTCTATTCAAAGTTTGTTATTATAGATGTATTTTCACAGGCCAGAAAAATAAAATGACTGAATATCATGTATAAACCGTGGACATATGGAACTCCCTTGTATTTTGTTTTAAATCATTAGCTTCTTCCTCAGCTTCTAGTTATTTACCTTTGGACATGGTGCTAGAGCCAACTAGTGTGTAAAATAAGCAGAATACAGATCCTGATCACACAATCAGACCATTTGTGTAAAATAGATTTAAAAAAATGAAAACAAACTTTTTGATTTAAAATACAAAGCTATAAACTGAATGACATCAAAATTACATTTTACAGTGATTTTGAACCAGAAAGACTATCATGAGAAATTTATGACACTCCTTATTGACTTAACGACTTATGAACCTCTGAAAAGAGATCCAGGAAGTGGTTACAAGAAGAAGTTGATAGATTGCCTGAAAATTTTGGAGCAG